CGCCTAGAATCTTTGGAGGAAAGCGCCGAAACGCTCGACCACCGCCTTGCTAAAGTGGAGGATACCTGTGAGACACTACAGGTCGCTAATGAAAAGCTGAAGGCTAAGCTATCGGACATTGAGTCGAGAAACAGACGCTGCAATACTCGCCTTATTGGCCTGGAGGAAGGGATTGAGGGTCCACATCCCTCTAAGTTTTTCTCACAGTTGTTGCAAGACGTTTTTGGAGAGACATTTTCCCCTCTCCCCCCGAACTGGATCATGCACACCGTATTTCGGCCCCCAAACCGGCCCCTGGAGGCAGACCCGTCATTGTCTGTTTTCACCGCTACCAAAACAAGGAGCTGCTAATACGAGAGGCTAGGAAGAGGAACGACTGGATAAACCATTCCGGGTCTATGAAGACTACAGCCCTGAGGTGGTGAGCCAGAAACCATCACTGCTATACCCGGTGCGACTACGCATTGTTAAAACGGATGGTGTATGCCTCACATTTGGCTCTGTGGCTGAGGCCGAAAGGTTTGTGCAAGACTCCATGGAAGACTGAACTGTTTTGAGGCACGTGGAACACGGGACTACTTCGGACGACTGTTATGGCATTGTCATGATTCCTATGTTGATTTTCAGACATTTAACTTCATTTCTTTTTCTTTATTATTTTTTTGGCGTGACAGTGCAATTATTTGCACATATGTTGAATGGTGGACTTCACCAGGGTACACCTGGTGGGTCTTATTTCAACCTTTACACTATGCAGGCTTAAGGAGCTTTAGGTAGGATAGTTATGGAAGTTTTTCAGTTAGATTGGGTAGGTGTGCTGTTTGTTCTGACAGCTAGTGTCACCTGGGGGTTCAGGGGGTTTCTGGGAGGGTTTCTGTGTTTGACTGTCCAAGTTAAGAACCAAGTGCTTTATGTTTCTTGTCTGAGCAACCAGCTAAAACCTTTGATATATTTTCAATGGTTACCTCTATTGACTTAGTGACCTGGAATGTTAAAGGCCTGAACCATCCTATTAAAAGAAAGAAGGTTCTCACTCACTTGAAAAATATGGGTGCTGATATAGCCTTTATTCAAGAAACCCATCTTAAAATGTCAGATAATACTCGTTTAAAATGTAGTTGGGTGGAGCAGCTCTTCCACTCACATTTTACAAAGGGAAGAGGTGTAGCGATATTGGTCAATATATTGGTTTTAATAAAAGGGTTCCTTTTATCCCCTGTTCGACTCTGGCTGATTCAAATGGATACGTTATAGTAACCAGATCAATTTTTAATATTAATGTTACATTAGCAAATATATATGCCCCAATTTTTTTTTCACGCGTCCTCGGCCTCCTGCCATGTTTGAATACCCATTTACTTATTATGGGTGGTGACTTTAATTTGTGCTTGGACCCTGGGATGGATAGATCGTCTGTAAGAACTGGATACTCGACAGTAAAGTCAGCTTCTTATTTACAGTCCTTTTTTTCAACCTACGGCATCTTGGGCATTTGGCGTTTTTTACACCCACAAGTCAGACAATATTCCTTTTTTTCAAATGCTCATCAAACCTACAGTAGAATTGACTATTTTTTTTTTACTGGTAACAAACTAGCCTCTCTTGTTAAGTCATGTGATTATCAGCCTATTGTAATATCTGACCATGTGCCCTTAATATTGACACTGCATATACCCGGTATGGAGTCTCCTAAACTCTCTTTTGTTAAGTGATGAAAACTTTATAGAGTTTATTTCAGATCAAATTACCTACTTTTTGGAATTTAATTTAACTCCGATATTTCCATCTCGTCGGTCTGGGAGGCTCTTAAGGCTTATCTTCGCGGCCAGGTTATATCGTTTACAGCCAATAAGAAATGCACTTCTACTTCTAAACTAAAGGATTTGGAAAAGCAAATAGCAGAACTGGATAATAGGAATTCTCAGAACCCCTCACCAAATTTATATAAAGAACGTTTGAAACTGGGTGCAGAATATGATGTGCTCGCCTCACATTCTATAGAATATTTATTGTTAAAGAACCGCAGTGATACCTATGAGCACGGAGATAAGGCGGGAGAGATTCTAGCAAGACAGTTGAAATGTGCAAGAGCCAGGCAAACTATTAATGGGGTCGCAACCCGAGATGGTGGAACTGTTACAGATCAACAGGGGATAAATGATGCTTTTCAGCATTATTATTATAAGTTGTGTAGCTCCGATAACACCAATGATTCTAACCTCCTCTCTGATTTTTTTAGAGACCTAAAGATTCCAACATTGTCCTCAGACGAGGTTTCCACCCTGGATGCACCTCTGCAGCAGCAGGAGATCATAGCGGCAATAAAATCATTACAGTCTCGCCGATCACCAGGCCCTGATGGCTTACCGAACGAGTTTTATGCCGCCTTTGCTGGAAAACTAGCCCCTGTGTTAGCTACGTTATATACTGACTCTCTTGCCAAAGGTGTTTTGCCTGATAGCCTAAATCAAGCCTGTATAACATTACTTCCCAAAAAAGATAAGAACCCTTTGGAATGTGGATCCTACAGGCCGATTTCACTCCTGAATTCAGACTATAAAATACTAGCGAAGGTTTTGGCCAACCGATTGGAAAAAGTTTTACCCAACATAATCTCTTCAGATCAGACTGGTTGTATTAAAAACAGGCACTCCTTTTTTAGTATTCGTCGACTACTTAATATAATGTACACCCCCAGCCAAGCTGCTTCCGAATGCCTTCTCTCCATGGATGCGGAGAAGGCTTTCGATAGAGTAGAATGGGAATATCTATTTGAGGCCTTGCAAAGATTTGGGTTTGGAAGTTGCCCCCTCAGCCCCCTCCTTTTCGTATTAGCTATTGAGCCGTTGGCAATAGCTATATGAAGTAGTCATGCTATTCAAGGCATTTCGCGATATGGAACTGAGCACAAATTATCTCTCTATGCCGATGATCTCCTGCTGTTTGTGTCCAAGGCTGAGGTAACAATTCCCTACAATCTTGAACTTTTTGATACATTTGGGCTTGTGTCAGGCTATAAATTGAATCTACACAAGAGTGAATTACTGCCTCTAAATATGCCTCTTTCCACATTAGCAAACATTACTGTTCCCTTCAAGATTGCAACGCGCAGTTTTGTCTATCTAGGCATAACTGTGATGAAAAACTTCAGTGATCTCTTTAAAGAAATTTTTACTAAGTTACACCTCAGTATGCAACAAGACTTGTCAAAATGGTCGCCGCTTCCTCTCTCGTTAGTTGGGAGAGTGAATGTAGTTAAAATGTCTGTATTACCCAGATATCTTTATCTGTTTCAAAGCCTCCCTATATACATTCAGAATGCTTATTTTAAGAAATTGGACTCTGCAATTACATCATACCTTTGGAACAATAAGAAACCACGTTTGCATAAAACACATCTGCAAAAGTCAAAGCAAGACAGAGGCCTGGCTCTACCGAATTTCTGTTATTATTACTGGGCTGTTATGCTGTCTGACCTACTGGCTGCACTATCAGCACGATTGCAGCGGACCCGTATGGGTAGAAATGGAGAAGCTCTCTTCTGGTTCTTTCTTGCTATCGTCTGTCGTAGGTGCATCTATCCCGTTACCCAAAAGCCTGACAATTGAGAATCCTGTAGTTAATAATATTATCCAGATTTGCTTTCAGTTTAGAAAACATTTTAATCTTCTGAAGATGTGCTTAGGCAGCCCAGTAGCTTCCAACTATGTTTTTTCCCCTTCAATGTCTGATGCCACATTTCAGGGCTAGCAGAGGCGAGGGCTGAGATCTTTAAAAGATCGTTTGCCTCATTTGAACAGCTGACTAATAAATACAACTTACCCCCCTCTCATTTTTTTAGGTATCTACAAATACGACACTTTCTTTCAGGCTCTATCCCAGGGTTCCCAAATAAACCCCCTAATGATGTAATGGATGACATTATGTGTTTTAACCCAGCTAAGAAAAAGGCCATATCATCAATACTTGTTCTGATTTTGCGGCTGGGTTCTTCTTCTATGTCTGCAATTAAGCGATCCTGGGAAGAGGATCTTAGAATCTGTATTGCTGAAGCAGACTGGGGCAATGTTTTAAGTAATATTCACTCGTCCTCCATGTGTGCAAGACATTGCCTTCTGCAGTTTAAAATAGTGCATAGGGTCCATCTCAGCAAATCGAAATTGGCAAAGATGTATCCTCAGATTGACCCAACGTGCGAAAGATGTAAATTGGCAGAGGCCACCTTGTTTTGGTCCTGTCCCAAAATACAAAAGTTCTGGACGGATGTCTGTGAGGCTTTGTCCAAGACCAAAAATAAAAAATGTGAACCTGCTCTGTGAAGCACACACATTATACACACACATTAACAAATACACACACACACACTTACATATTTCTATTTGCTTCAGTCAGCTTTACAGCAGTCACAGGACATTTTCTTCAGGAAATGCTCTGCCGTGATTAACCAAAAACATTTAAGAACATGAGGAACAGGAGGAAAAGGAGGAAATAAGGAAAATCTCTGATCTCGTTTGGAACCACATGTCTGTAATTTTTTTTTCTCTCAAGAGCCCAAATTTAATTATTTCTTGTAATGTCCTGGAGCCATTTGACTTTTCATGCCGGTTTGTATTTGGTATTCATTTTAAATAGGTTGGGTTTTCCACTGGGACATTTTTATCTCCTTGGATGTACTGAGGCTGACATTTTCTGTGGGTTACTACAGCTCCATTTTAAATGATTAAACCATGTGGAGAACTGAATGATATTACAGACATATACTGTAAGTAGGAACCAATGAGGTTTGTGCCCTGGAATACAAACTATATAGGCTGGAATGTTCTTTGCTCCTGCAAGGTTGGTTTTAACAGTTGGTTTTAACAGTGCTACATAATGGAGCACAGCAAAGAAACAGATGCTCGATTGTATTTGTGAAACAAATAACGACGTCTCTGACATGTATCTGTCAGCGTGAAAGTACTCAGCACATCCCCTCTTTCATGTCACACACAAGTACTTACCATCAAACTCAGCAGGGCCCACTCCTACTATGATGACAGACATTGGCAGAGAGGCTGCCTGTGGAAGGAGCATAGAATGAATACGAGACAGATTACAGTTCCCCCACTCCTTGAAAGACAGTTTTACACAGTAATGCAGCAATATACAGAATGGCATACCAGTGAAAAGCTAGCTTTACCTGATACAGTTTGACTGAACTTCAGTTGTGGGTTTTTTTTTTCCAGAACATTATGGAATTAGTACCAGTCTTTGTCTCTGCCTGTTTCTCTTACTTCTGCAGTAGCATCTAATTTAAGTCCAATACAAACACATTTTGTCGATCAGACACTTGGTAGTTAACCACAGTATGTGTAAATCAAAATATTTTCCATCCATCCAGCCATCTGTTCTCTTCCATTAACTTCACAAAAAGCCAGTCTGCCTGGGGTAACACAGAGAATACTTACATTCCGTATTTCCATTATTATTCGTTTTAATATTGATCAGTACAACTTTGAGATTCTCTACATTGCATGCTAGTCATGGCAATGGTTAAACTAACTACCTAGTTGATCCCTAATAATTTAGACACATACACATACCAATAAAAAAAAACTGTGTGATCAGATAGAGGAAGTGGCTGACATCTAGAAGTCCTACCAGTGGTTGGACAAAGTTGGATTGAAAGACAGCACAGAGGCACTGATCATAGCAGCACAGGAACAAGCTCTGAGCACAAGGTCCATAGAGGCTGGGGTCTATCACACCAGGTAAGACCCCAGGTGCAGGCTGTGTAAAGATGCCTCTGAGACAATCCAGCACATAACAGCAAAAACATCAGTGCCGAGCATAGCCTGGAAGTCCTGAAGTGATAATGGGATATGTGCCCCAGGATGGTTGGGAATGACCGAATAAGATCCTGTGGGACTTCCAAATACAGACGGACAAACTAGTAATGTCCAACCAACCAGAAAGAGAAGTGGTGCACAAGCAGAGGAAGACAGGTGTAGTAATAGATCTATCTATACCAAATGATAGCAAAATGAAGAAGAAGGAAAACGAGAAACTCAAGAAATACCAAAGGCTGAGAGAGGAGCTCAAGAAGATATGGAGGGTGAAGGCAAAAGTGGTGCTTGTGGTAAACAAGGCAGTGACCTGGGCAAGTGGCTCCAGCATATCTCAGGAATGACATCCGAGATCTCTGTCCAGAAGAGCGCAGTCCTGGGAACAGCAAAGATACTGTGCAGAGCCCTGAAGCTCCCAGGCCTCTGGTACTCCACATGTACTCCTCCAAGTGTGATTTGAGACAAGCCTGACTTTGTTTATGTCAGCGCTTACAGCTGTGACTGGTAAGTCTACATGAGGTAATCAACTTCTGACTTTTTCCTCCTCTTCTTTTTCCCCCCATTTTTTTTTATTTCTGTTCATATTTGAGCCACGATTGAGCCGGGCTCAAGAGTTGGGAGTTTGCCTTGTAATCGGAAGGTTGCCGGTTCGAGCCC